AAAGTGCTGCATAAAAACAGGGGAATATTTTGTTATATAAAGTACTGACTATAAATGTGCTGCTGTGGCAAGCTTTCTATGAATTTGAAATTGGTCAGTCTAGTATTGGCAGCAGGAGGTTATCAAGAGAAGAGGAGGCTCACTGTGCGAGTGAGTGTGCCTGCCTGTGTGTCTCTGTCCTCTGTGTCACTCAGACCCCACCCAGTCTGCAGCAGCAGAGATGCAGTGAGGAGTGATAGCTGGCCAGTGGCTGTGAGCTGGTGATTACTGTTCCGAGGAACAGCCCAGCAAGTCCTGCCAGCTGTTTCTCTCCCTCCTCTTAGAGATAAGCAAATAGAATAACAAAGTCGAGGGACACTAGAAACATCTATACATCTGCTTGTGTGCAAATTTTCCTTTTGGTCTGCATGAGATCGATACTGGATTCCTAAACATACAGATGTCACCTGTCTCTATTTTATAATATATGCTATATATACATGACATGAATACACATAGACAGATTATATATTGTAACGCTTACGGCCGACAGGCACTGTGTAAGAGCCGGCGTACCAGAGCAGGTGACGTCACCGCCCTTCCCTGTGATAGCAGGACCACAGCTACTGGGCTGTAGGGAGATCTCTCTTTGGCTCACCGGGCTGGGTCGCTGCAGAGAGACGCGGGAGTCCTGGGTTCGAGCCCCTGACGGTGGGGGGCCGACCTAATGCGGCAAGGGCGCCCGCCTGAGCCCCCGTTGCGTTACAATATACTCATATAACTGAAGATAGAAAATCCTTCTCAGCCCATTCCAGTTCAGTTTGGTTGTCTCTGCCTGTTGGTGGTGAGCCAGTGAAGTCAGCTCCCTACATACCAGGCAAGAACGAGCACGTTTCTAAGATTTCTGCACTGTGCAGAGAGGGAGGGTCAGGGCTGTGACAGGAAGGCCCTTCCTCCTGAAATGTGACACGAAAGCAGGTTGTGCTCCTTCAAGGCGTTGCTCAGCCTTTAGGGAAGATCTGGTCCATGCGGAAACACAGCGAACAGCAGTGTAGGTGAGTGTGATACAGGAAGGCTGATCCGGAATGCAGGAATCACTTCCCGGCTGTTGTGGGTAAACCAGGCAGCTCCAGATACTCGACTTCGACTTGCTGTCGAATATTGGCTTGTTACTGTTGTTGGGTTTTACTGCAGCTATTCGGGAGCTGTACCACACTTATCTAAAAGGAAATACTTCATTGCTAAAGGACTAATAACATATTTACAGAAGTGGAGGTTTTTCAGGTAATAATAATAAGATGAAACTTCATTTCAGATACAGTCTTTAAAGAGTAGCATAAGCACATATAAGAGACACAAGTGGTTACAAGGTCCTTAGAAAGTGCAGCAGACACAGACGCCAATGACATAAAAGCCTTTCTGAACAGAATGGTTCTGAGTTGAGATTTAAATGCACTCAGCATAGGTGACTCCCTGATATCCTTGGGGATAAAATAAGGGCGGTTGCCCATGTTGTACACAATGAAAGGAAGGAAGTGCAAGCATTGCCCTGCACACCCACTGAGACAGTCGTCCACAGCTACAAGCTCCGAAGTGACATACAGGAGGCTCAGCACTGATTGGAGGAGCAATGCTGATGTCATCACAAGTCATTATGGGGCATAGCTGGGAAATTGCAGGGACTAGTATTGCAGTAGTAAACTTTGGTCCTACCACAAGTGGGGCAGACCCCACCGCGTGCTGCCTCCTGGAGATTCCCGGTCTCTGGGGCTGCCGGAGTGACCAGACGAATACTGGGAATGTCTGGATCATTGAGCCCAGCCTGCTCCCAGAAGAGTCTCCACTGCTTGATCCACTTGGGCCAAAAAATAACCTACCCAAGTGATGCATCTTAATACAATACAAGTCCCACAGCCCATTTCAGCTGCTGCTGACACTGGCAGCCAATGTGTTTATCCCCCTAGCATGTAAAACGAACTGGGATCATTCAGAGACTGCACGTTGACTCAAAAAGGGAACCAGGCCTACGTCTGTGTAGTGCTTATGCACGTTGGAGATTTGAGCCTAACTGATTTGTTTCTTGTCTTGTACAACATCCATCGGAAAGTGGTGGTATGAATTTGGGAAAAGAACGTGGGCATTATAAATGAGCGGAGCTCCAAGCAGCTTGATTGACTGCCAGTAAACTAATGATCCACTTAATCGGCCTGCGATTCTGAGTGTAGTGTGTGCTTGTCCCTCGTTCCCCATGAATCCCCTCTGGTGTAGCTCTGACTCCAGAATCATTCATATGAGTGTGAGGGGGCAACCAGGGGGGGCGCTGGCCTGGGGACCCCCAGGTGAGAGGGGCAGCCTCCTTGTGGCTGTGCCTGTGGGGGGGGGGGGACAGGAGACCGGCCCCTGTATCGGATGTGTCCTTTTTCACCGGTCGGGACTCAGCTGTGTGAAACCCTGTGGAGGGGCTTTCTTCCTGGACGGTATCTGGTGCTTCGCAAACAACAAAGAAACCGCCGCCGACAAAGCCTGGGTGGTACAGCTCTGCATATCCACCAGTATTTGCGCGGTTATTCCTGAACTCCCAGCCGCCGGAACAGGCGCCCCTCCGGTCTCTGTCTCTCTCTGTCAGGGTGGCCAGCAGCTCCGAGGCTCCGCTGCAGCCTGGTGCTTACTGTGCACATCCCACGTGTGGGATCTGCTGACCAGCTGCTGACTGCGAGTTTTGTCCCCTGTCTCCTGCACTTATTCAACTGGCGATTGCATTACTAAAGGGCTCCAGCGGGGTGGACAATGCCAAAGAGCTTTACATGGCACTGATGTCATTGTGCACAAAGAAAGGGATTCTGCAGCTAGTCGGGGTATCAGAGTATTTACCCCTGTGCAACAACAGGGGCTACAGAAAAGGCCGTGTGTGTGTGTGTGTCTGTGTGTGTGTGTACTCGTGCACATTTGTGTGCATATGAGCACCTCTTCGTGTGTCTGCTTTGGAGCAAAGTTATTTCAGAATGGCTGGGGCTGCCATGGTGGAAATTCGTCGGACATTCGGAGCTGTTCAACCTGTAGGGATCGCGTTTTCTTGTTTTCTTGAAATGCACTATCACGGTAGACGAAGAAAAGGGTCAGGGAATTCCCCCGTGTGTCAGTGACTGGGTCGGCATCACCCTGCGTCTTCACTGTGCTGCTGATTGCTTCGCGGGGGTAAAGAACAGCACCCTGGGGCGGACATGCAGGGGGTGCGCAGCTGTTGTCGGACAGAGTGGGCTTCGCCCTCGGTCACAGCCCCTGTGTGCGCATGGCCAGCCCCTGTAAGCTCTGATGTGTTTAACTGTGCTGTGTAAATATACTGCACCCTGAGAGATGAGACCAAGAGACCAGGTGACCACGTAGATCAGGCGACCAAGATCTAAAATAAACTCTCCACCAAATGGGAGTGCTATAGCTGGAGATTTGGAAAATACCCTTTTAAAATTTCGCACCTGGTTTTCACATTCAGTTGTCTGTGGTTTTTAAGTTCGGTCACAGCTTACGTTCAGCCACCGTTTATCTTTCACCACCCTGCTCGTCCTGAAAGCTGTAATCAGCAGTGAGACAGACATCTTCGTCCCCTTATCTGGCGCAGCTACAGCGGCTCACAGGCATGAGCTCCACTGCGCATTGTGTACAGGCCTGTTGGATGGGACAGGAGTCTCTTGTTAGAGGCTGAAAGGGTAGACAGGCAGCTGCAAGAGCAGCTCGAGGGAACCATGGACAGTTCCCTTGTGGAGGTGGACGTCTTCAACAGTTGGGTGGACACCATGGAGGCAGAAGGACAGAAAACCGAGACAGATGAAGCGGACAACGGAACGTCCTCTCAGCCTACGACAAAGTGTCCTTGCAAGGCTGTCTATTCCAGCTGAGCCTATTTCACGCTTACAAAGCACAGAGCCCGAGCGCGTTAAAACCACAGGAGCGCTGGAAACTCCTTCCCTACTGCCCCACAACACTTTCACACGTGTGGTATAAGCTAAGCCTGCTACCTGAGGAAATAAATCTGGCACTCCATGAAGCGCTAGGCCTGACTACAAGGTCCCTTCGTGTTTGTGTTTGCTCCATTTTGTGCTCAGTGTTGTGCTGCACACACATCAGCTCTGTGCACTAAGGAAAAGCTGTTCACTTTGTTTTAATAAAGCCTCCTTTTCTGTGATACCATTCTTTCAATCATTAGCAATGTCCATCCATTTTCTATCTGTTTTATCCAATTCAGAGTCACAGGGCAGTCAGAGTCCACTCAGGCAAGCAACAGGCACAAGGCGGGTTCTACCCTGGACGGGATGTCTGGGTAGATGGATGGGTTAATGGATCACTGGGCACACACAGACACACACTCACACCAGGGACAGTTTCCCAGAACCCAGTTAAACTACCAATATGTAGTTTTTGATCTACAAACTCCACACAGACAGCACCCCAGGTCCAGAATTGAGCCGAGGCTGGGTCAGTCCCGAGCAGAAAGGTCAGGGCCCGTCTGACCCCGATCAGCCCCGCCCAGCTCCGGCGGCCCACAGCCAGCTCGAGAGTGCGCTGTCTCGGAGCCGCACGCTCGCACAGCAGGGTGTAGGAGGAGTGGAGAAGAGAGCAAGGAGGGTTCTGATTGTTCCACTGGGCCTGGGCTCACCCAGCCAGTGCTGACACCAGCTCCGATCCTACCAGATTTAATCACCTGTGGGACGGCGTGTCAGGTCCCATGGATCAGGGGTGTCTTCCATGCTGGAGCTCCACTGGCCTTTAGGACAGATGAGCAGGGGGCTCCAGCGCTGCTGGTTCACACCCCGCAGGGTCGGGGACTGTCTGCAGGGTCGCAGCACTGGGACACAGGGAGACCCTCCCAGTTCAATGAGCTCAACTGTCCAATGTATTTACCTCTCAGCGGAAAACAGATGGGAGAATTCGGCCGTAAGTATATAAGAACTCGATGCCCATCGTATTCCTACATCTCTTTCTTTATTCACTGCAAAAAAAAAACTGTTTACAGCCCCGAAAAGGAAAAATAACGGAGCCGTTATGAAAACAGCAGGCGAGTGGCAGCTGACTCAGCACGTTTCTCTGTCGGGACACAAACACGGAGTCCGACAGGCATGTCCGAGCCGAGGACCCGCCGCTTCTCTGCACACACGACTCCAACACCTCCTCCCGCTGTCATGCCGGGAGCCCCAGGAATGTGCCTTGGGGAAATGTTTTTTTATGGTATTTATGGTCAGATATGTGTTCTGGTATCAGGGAGGCGTATCATTCAAAGAGACGGAAGAACCGCTGTAACTTTGCTTTTCGCGGATCTGATGAGATGAGGGTACCGTGCACTCCACTCCGGAGGGGTTTTTTTCTTGGTGCATATTAATATTTGTGGTTTAAGCAAATATTAAACATTATAAATAACAAATTAAGTAGTTGTGCCTCTGTAATTCGGTGGGGTTTCCTTTAGCTTGCTGTGAATCCGGCTAATTCATTATCATTCCTGCAGATGACCAGAGCGCTAATTTCATCTAAAAACTTTTTAAATGAATCTTATTAATTTACTGGGTTTACATTGTGCAATGACAGCGGTGGTTGGCTCACATGAACCGGAGGGCGGAGACGTCGCCCGGAACCGGAAGCGGAAGTTCCTCTTCGCCTGCAGTTCCCAGCTCCGCCTCGCGGCGGTGCGCAGCGTGCAGGAAGAGGAGACAGCCCTGCTTCCTGGACTCCCCACAGGCTGCTGCCCGTGTCCCTCAAGCATGGCCGGGGGCAGCTTAGGGACCATCTGCAAATACCGCACGGTGCACTCGGAGTCTTAAGCAGGTTTTCTGACATGCAGACTATCAACGCTGCAGTACAGCACCTAGGGCAAGAACAAGTAATGGCCATGGAACATGTCTGGACACCCACCGGACCCTGGCAGCAGCCCCCTCTCCTGTCTCCCCATCCTGTGGCCGCTGCAATGTGTGTTTTAGACCAAAACGCTGTGGTTAAATCCAGTCACTGCATTTGATCAAACTGGCAGATGGACAGGCGCTGCTTTGCTCTCGTCAGGGCCCGGCCAGCACAGGGACCGGAGACCCATGAGGAAAACCAGCTTGCGTCTGTCCTGGCGGGGTGGGTGTGCTGGTGGACCAGTAGGAGGTGCTCTCCCCCCATATCGTGGCCAGGGACCCTGTGCTGTTGGGGTGCTGTCCCGGGGATGAGATGCGAAACTGAGTACAGATCCAGAGGCAGATTCTCACTTTTCCACCTGATCCTCTGTGCAGCGTCAGAACTAACAAGGTGGAGTTCTTCCAGCCCGTTAGTGGAGGACATTCCCTTAAATGGACATTTAAAAAAATGTGAAATGTGTTTAAACTCATTAGGAATACAATTGCATCTGGAACCGTATGAAAGCACATTTTCAGAGTTCCTATGACGTTTTTGTTTTGAACAGCCCGAGAACACCAAACGTGTTTCACACCGCAAAGGAAAAAACAAAACAAACTGCTTTAGAAACAGTGGGCTTTCGACTTATCGAACTAGGACTGATTGGCAGCCAGTTCATAACGGGCTGCCTCTTTAAGAGGCTGACGTCATCGACCCGGCTCCGGGTCGCGCGCCTGGCTGCGTCGTCACTCCCCCTGGCGTGCGTGCGCGCCGCCGTCGATCGCGTGGTGTGCTTCCATATTGCTGCTAGTAAGGGAGACCAGCGACATCGGGGGTTTTAAACAGGCGCTCGGAGGGATTTTGTGTTTTAATCCGCAAGTGGCCACTCTGCGTCTTAGACTGAAGGATATTTGGTCTAGGGGTGGAGTGGAGAGAAGAGTGAGACGAGCCGGATCGGGGGCGCACAGTTCGCGTTTTCTCTCGCCAGTTGTAGAAGGGCTTGCGGGGTAGCGAGAAGAAGGGGGAAATGGCCACTCAGGTGGAGACCCTCCTGCCCGGCAACCCCCTGCTGAAGCCGGAGGAGCACGGGCACGGCGGCGAGTGCCCGGAGCCCGGGGCGGACGGCGGCGTGAGGCGAGGCGAGCCGGGTCCGGCAGGCATGGCCGCTCAGGAGCCGAGCCTGAAGCAGGCGAAGGACGAGAGCAACGCGCAGGAGCAGGAGAGCCTGCGCAGGGAAGCCGGGGCTGCCCCGAAAGACGGGGTCACCCCGGAGGAGGAAGGCCCGAAATGCACCAAAAAGGAGTTCACTGAGGCGCCCCCTCCCAAGGTGAACCCATGGACTAAGAAAATGAACACGGTGACCGTGGTCAGTGTGAATGGACAAGCACATCATGGTGTGTACCTCCTAACATCTTTTCCAACGCTTCGCTTGTTGCTTTCGAGTGCCGTGGCGGGGTGCAGCTGGCCCGGACGGATGGCAGCGGGGGCCCTCCCCCCGAAGGCCAGCCCGCAGGGGGCGCAGGTCCCCCCGGGCAGCCCTGGGTGCAGGCCCCGGAGCCGCTGTGGGGGACAGAGAGGGGGGTGTGCGGTCTGGCCTGCCCCAGCAGACAGTGCGGGGCGCAGCAGAGGTCGCGTCTGCGGCGGCCGGGATCGTGTTTCGGGGCTGCGTGCGGCCGGGAGGGCGCATTTCGTGCAAAGGGAGCCCCGGCGAGGGCCAGGGCCTGCGGACTGGCAGCGGTGCGGCGATGCGTTTTGGGGGGGGTTTGCACGCCGGCGGCCGGCTCTCCGCTGTGTGCCAGGGAGTGGGCTGGTCGCACCGAGGGCACACCGTGCGCCGCACCAACGCCTATGATTAGCATATGTTGTGGGGAGGGCTGGTTTTTGCGTCGGGCTTGGCTTTATATATATATAGCCCTGCCTCGGCTCTTGAAGCATCCGAAACATGCGGGGTTATTGGCAAAAAAGCTGGAAATCCATGTGATTTACATGTGGTTCACGTTTTAGTCACTCGTGGCTTTTCCTGGTTCCCCGAGTACACGAGCGGAATGGGGGGGCATCGCTCAGTCGGCGCTGCTGTCCCCCCGTGTCTCTTTTTTTAATTGTTATACCTATTTCAAACAGATGGCCCAGAGCTTGGGCGGTAGCATTTCCTTTGTTTTTGTTCGTTTTTACCCGTGTGAGAACGTGAGGGTGGCACGAAATTGAAAGGAAAACCGTTTTGTTTGCCAAGTCTTTTATTTTTTTTTTATTTCAGGGAGGTAAAGCGATTGTTTTAACTTTAGAGCAACCCCACTGGCCACGCAGTTAAGGCGGTGATTGTAACAGGGACGAGTCTCGCCCCCCCCCTTCCCCAAACCCTCCTGCAAAAAAAAAAACCCGAAGGAACCAGCGTGTTTCGAGGCTCAGATCTAGGAAAAGGTGACTTGTATTTTATCCCCCGATAGTTTCCAGCCGTGTTGCGGCAGGGGTGCCCCTCTCCGGGGGCTGTGGGGGTCGGGGTGCTCTGGAAACTAAGGCAGAGCGTTGCTAGGCTCGTCCGCGTTACCCAGAATTCCCCCCGCCCGTCGGCAACGTGGTGTCTTCCTCTGGAAACACGTGATCTCATGGGCGCTGCGCCGCGGCCGGGCCCGTCTCCTGGGGGGGCTCGGTTCGGGCTCCGTGGGGCCCGGGGTCGCTTGAGTTTGACAGGGCGGGGCGGGGACGGGCCGGCGAAGCAGCTGTCTGAACGGAGAGCAGCGCCGTTATCCCCTCCCCCCCCCGCCGGCCGTGGTGAGGCGAGGGGAAGCGTGGCTTCTTGCGCAGCTGCTGCAGGTTAGGCGGACGGGTTTGTTCCGGACTGCCTTCAGAGCAGCTTCCTTTGAACCGTGCTCTTCACTTCACTTCACTCCCGGGGTCGTGGTCATTAGCCGTGGAAGGCACACAGCCCGTGCTGGCTGCTTTCGTGTCTCGTTCCCCCCCCCACACCAACAAGTCTGTTATAAAAGCTGTTTTTTTTAAAATAAAAATAAGTTCATTGAGGTAGAGTAAATAACGCGTGTTTGCTCAGGGAGATAAAACTGTTTGCACTGTAGAGGTAGAGGAGAAAACTCCAGTGTTTTTCGTTCTTTGCGAAAATAAAGGGACGAGTTTCTTTCCCCAGTTTAAGACCTGTAACATCCAGTCACTCTGTAATTTGAGTGAACTTTGACCGGGAAGTCCACAGGTGAACAACACCTCTTATTTGAGAGAGCTGGTTTGGGGATCAGTATTGTTTTTGTTTCTCTTTTAAAAGGTTAAAGTAACAGGGTTACAATATCTATGGTTTTTCAAAGGCCTGGGAATGAAAAAGGAAATGAAAACCGACTTTTAGTACATTTGCCTCCCTGGTTAATATTAAGGCTAATATCTTAAAACGTGTTATCCAAGGTCACGGTCCTCTGTTGTGTGAAAGGTGAGACACGTGTGAGAATGTCAGGTGTTGTGTGCCAAGCAAAAGGCTGTATGGACACAAGAGCAATAAACAGTGCTTTGTGACTTTTGCTCACTGACTGCTGTGCGGGGGGCTCTCCTTGGCTTTTGTAAGTAGAGACTGGAAGAGAACCGAGAGCTTGATTTTTCAGAATTTCTTTGAAAGTGTAATATTTGATCTGCTCGATGCGTGTAGGGGGTGTTTTTGTGTCAGTGGCAGGTCATACATCTGCTTTGAGTTAGACAAAGCCTTGTATGTGTGTAGTGGACGAGTGTTTCTGAATAGTTGCTATAAGTGGTGAGATTTGCCTTTATGATGCACCATAGGTACTCCTTGAAACTGGAGGGATGCCCAGTTCCTAAAGGCTGGGGTAGAGGGCACGTGGCCTGTTGATGGTGGAAGCCTGTGATGACTGTTCTTAGTTTTAAAGAACCCGAAGCCGAGTCCTCGCACAGCCTGTGCGCTGACAGTAAAAGGCTCGTCTGCAGTGCAGCAATGCTGGATGACAACAGCAGGCAACACGCTGCCACGCTTTCCTGGATGCTGGAGCAGCGCTCGTTAGCCCCTGAATCCAGGTTTACCCAGTTTGCAGACAGTAGAGAAGCATGGGCCTGGTCTAGTTTTATTGTAAGAAAGTTTGAAAGACTATGCTGAAAGTATATTGACAGATAAGTGGTATTTAATGTACTTTTAAAACCCTGCAGTGTATGATTCCTTAGTCCTTGAAGCTGAACGTAGTGGCGTGTGTAGTGTCAGATGCAGTGTCCTGTTTAGACGTACCAGCGTCAGCGTGGTTGTGTGCTGCAGTAGGAATGGGGCAGATGTGTGGAGCAGTGGGCAGGGTTCTGGACTGTAACTGGAAGGTTGTGGGTTCAAGACCCAGGTGAGACACCGCTGTTGTACCCTTGACTGGGGTACAGTACCTCACCCACACTGTTCCAGGAAAACACCCAGCTGCGTAAATGAGTGCAAAACTAAGTTGCTTCAAATAAAAAGCTTCAGCCAGAGAAATACATGTAAGCCTGTTTTGGTTGTTTGGTGTCTTTAAAGAATAACTGTTAATGTTTCAAGGTTTACTGAGTACACTGACGTTGTGCAAGTTCTCTTTCACAGTTTCGTATCTCAATATCATCTCGCCTTCTCTCTGCTCATTGATGGGGTGTTCCGGGAGAACACTTTGGGTTTGATGAGCCCGTTAAAAATTAATGTACACAAAGCAGGCAAGTGCAGATCTTGTTTTGTTTGTAGTATACGATTAACTTCTGTTCATTCGAATACAAAAGAGGGAGTTAGAAGCAAGATAACAGGGCTGTGAGGAAAGAATTGATATTGATCATCAGTATTACAAAACATTTTTTACAAAGCAAAATGGCCTATGTCATAAAAGGTAAAATGTAATCAAATTCCTGGGCAGAATAGAAAAATCATGCTTCTTGTTTTGCATTATGGAGATTTAATGAAGTGAAGTTCTAAATGTCTTCTGCACAGCGTTGCTCTAAAATCTCCAAGGCACTGCTTCCCAGAAGGAGGAACTGCTAGCAGAGAACTGCAAGTGATGCACAGGCTCAAGAATAAAACAAATCCCAAACTCCAGAACAAATAAACATGGACAGGAGACTCCTGTTATCGAAGACAGCTGTCTAAAGCATTTCTTCTCGGTATAATCTCTCCTCTGAGCATGTCCACCCTCAATGGAGAAGCTATTTATAGTTGTGACATGTTAACTTGGTTTCAAAACAGTAGTGGGTTAAAGTTTATGCCAAACTGTCCTAGAACACTGCATTACCAGCCTGTATTTCAGTAAGGTCTTTGTTATTGGAATAAATGCATGTAGTTATGTATTCTTTAGTATAGCATTTGTGCCTTGTGTTTGCACAAAGGGTAGTGGGAGTATGGAACAGGTCTCTCAGCCATGTTGTTGAGGCATGTACCTTGGCTTCCTTTAAGTAATAGCTGGATGAGATCGAGCTCGTTGTACCCGAATAGCTTTTTACTTTCAAATTTTCTGTTTCTTAACTGATGATTTTCAGGTATTTCAGGTACTATCAAAGATGTACTGGTAAACCTGAAAAGCAACCTTGAACATGTCAGACCTTTTCATGGAGTGGTAATTAGGGTAAAGAAATTAACATTTCTGTTATTTATTCAGCTAGTAACATCACCTGTTACAATGTAGTTCCCCAACCTTGATCAACAATGGGAGATTGATTGTATTGCAAACATTTTTTCATGTTTCCTATTCCTGACATACTTAATGACACTTAATGACAGTTCCAGCCTCGGCACAGATGCCTAAAATAAAACTCCTACCAAAAATAGGAAAATAGTCTGTCTGATATGGTTTTGGGATTAAAAATTTCTGTTGGTGTGATCCCATTTGAAATTGAATGAGCTACTGTATGTGCCCATAAGTGGATAGCATGTGTACTGGTGTTGGAGCTCCAGTTCCAGATTTAATTGAGAACTGGGTTCTGTCCCTTGCAGATGAATCCCTGCTGTAAAGATTTATCGCGCTGTGGAGTAGAAAATAAGAAAGGTGCCTTTGTTCCAAGAGGACAGAGATCCAGTCGTTCACAGGCCTTCCCCTCTCCGCTGTGGGTCGGCACAGCCGGTGCTGCTCTGCTCCTTGTGTGCCTGAGACGCTGTGGCGGTGCTGCAGCCCGAGTAAGCTGCCCCGCTGGTGGGGCGTGATCCGAGCGCAGGACTCCAGGGGCTGAGGTGTGCGCTGTCCATCCGGAGGCCTCTGGGTGACAGGATGACTAGCGTGCCTCTCCTGTGCTGTGCCCGAGAGGCTTGGCTGGCCGTGTGGTGATGTCGTCGGCGGACCGTGTCACTTGTTTGCGATGGTGGTCCGAGCCTGCAGTCTTTCTGAGGAGCGGAGCCCCACGTGCTCTTGGGCGAGCAGCTCCTGCAAAGCGAAGCACATCATCCTTCTCGCTGCACGTCTAGACCTGCGCGCCACTGGCTTGCGTCTCTTTCGCCTCGTGTCGCTCCGTGAAAGACAGCTGGTAGGCTGGAGCGGGAGAGTGTAGCTCGTCTTTACCCTCTGCCGAAACCGGAGCAGTGACGTCGTCAAGACTGGGGTGGGAGCTGTGGGGTAATGCCGACTGATGTGACTGGATTATAACGGAGTTTGAAGAAAATACACGCGGAGGGGAAAAATACAGCTCAATGCCCTTACAGATCTCAGTACTTTTTCAGCTGTTGAATGTCTGCGCATGTCATCCCTGGAATCTTCTTCACTGTCACTTTAATTTCACAGTGTGGAAATATCTGCAGACCTTAGGGACCAATGCAGATTCAAGCCACAGGTCTTCAGTATAATTATTAAAATCAGCTCGACGTGATCTCGGTCCTCCGAGGCAGGTCCAGTCTGAAAGTCAGATAATGCCTTTGTGCAGCAGTGGCAGTGCCTGGGCTGCATTGACAGCAGGTGTCAGTTTGTAGTTTTATCAAACAGTGTTTTGGGAAACTGTATTTACTGTGTAATATGCAGCAGTGTACAGCACATGAGCCTGCATGTAGTCCTTGTGGTTTGTTGCAGGTTTCTCCTGTGCTTGTCCTGTTCAGTTTCAAGCAACTAGTGGTGAATGTTAACAGCCAGCATCGCCAAACCGAGACATTTTGACCGGGAAGATCCAGCTGCCGTCATCTGGAAATTTTTTAAGGACTCTGTTTTAAGCAGGGGTTAAAGTATTAAAGCATTTTACTAAGGATTTTCTTTGTGACAATAAGGATTTCCAGATTTTACGGATTAGCCTGTGTGTGGCATTGAAAATTGCCGGTGACGTAAGCCGATATGCAGAATGTCAAGAGGAGCTGGTCAGTATTGAGAAAACGAGTGTTTTTGTAGCGGGTGTGCTGACATTTTAACTAACAGGTGTGGTTGGTAAATTTGTTGTTAGTTTGCCATCAGCAGCAGGTGTACTGTGAAAGCCATGGGGTAGGAGTATGTGTGGGCACTGCTGGAAGCAGCACAGCTGTGGTGCACGAGGTTGCTGATGTGCTGTCCCGTTCTTCTCATAGATCCCCGGAAGGGGTGTGCCTGTTTGCTGGTCTGAGCCCCAGACGCCTCGTGTCAGCTCGGCTCCACTCAGTGATGCTCTGCAGTGCTGCCAGTGATCAGTTACAGGTGGAGGTGTGATTCTTCACATTGCTAGAGAGGATCAGGCTCTACCTCAGGCGCACTCTTGCAGGCGAGAAGCTGGGGCCCGTGTGGTCATTCGGCCCCTGCGATGGCATGTGGCCGTCCCCAGGCTGGGCTGCTGATGTGCTGGCTGAGGCCGCCTGGCGTTTCTGACGCGGGGGAGCTGGAAATGCGCTGGCAGTGAGGGATCGCAGGTGAGCTGCTCCGATGTCAGTCGTGGTGCGGACTCGTGACTTCTTGTCTTCAAGATCGGGGCCCGTCCTTGACTGTGAGTGCACCACTTGGCAGGTGGCATGCGTTTACATGGAGCTTGTAGATGCCTTTTCTTCAGTCTTAGATTGAGTTGCACGTCGGCGTTGATCTGTCACAGGGAAGTCGTTTGAATATGGCGTGTAGTGGTATCTGTTTTAGGCTGCTGTGCAGACGCAGAAGTGCTATTTATAGCCTGGTAGTCCGCAGGCACTTCTCTACTGTCAAAAAAACAAAATAGCATATGTGCTTGAGAATTTCCCCGCGTTGCTCACCTGATCCGTAGGAAGCTGTGATCGTCTTTGCTGGCCAGGTTGTGTTCCGCAGGTTGCGGCCCGTGTTTGTCTCACGCCCACGCGCTGGGGCCGAGTGATGTGGTTCCCACGAGCTGTCAGTGGTCGCAGGGCCCGTGTGCTGATGGGCTGGCACAGGTGGGCACGCGACCTGGCACAGCTCTAAAATCTCACAGGCTTTTCTGGACTGCAGTATATATATTTGTCATTAAAGTTATATTCCTCAAATTGTAGGTCATTTTGTTTATACCTTGAGAACATTCCTGAAGAACAGATATGGTCTTTGTTGATAAAATTATTCCAGACTTAAGCGGTGTGTACATAGCAATTAGAGGAGATTTTACCTGTGTGGTGAATTTATCATCTGTTTTCTAAACTTATATAACACTTCCTTATCAGACTGGAGTGCATTAATTCTTTGCCTTAACTGTGATACCCAGTAGACTTGTTTTGTTAAATCTAGAGCTTATTGATGTTTCTCAGATGACTTGATGAACAGGGATTAGAAGGAAAGTTTTAAATTCAGTCATTCATCAGACAACAGAAATGTATTTTTAGTTTTCAAGTAAATGTTTTTAGCTAGTTTATAGTGCAGAATGTTTGCAACTAGATGAAAGAGTGGACTTCCAGTTACTAAGGAGCTGTGCAGTGTTTGTATCTCAGAAACTGAAGCCATCCTACATGCAGTGAAAACTCACCGTGCCCACCTTCCCTGTATAAATGTTGTGTTCACCTTATTTCCAGTATATGAAATATGTGGAGTAACCACTAATGATGTAGATTCAGAATGAGCCCAGTGAAAGTCTGGAATTGTCAAAACACATTCAGCACATTCAGGGCCTTCTGTCTTAATGTTATTGTACAGTATCTTGTGCCGATGAGGTGAAAGGCTTGTTTTCGTTATAGATTTCTCATCTCAAAAAGAATCACTTCAGAAGCACTGAAGACCTCTGTCAGAAGTAATTATCATTTCTTATTGCGCTCTTGTAATATGATAACATGTTTCAGTGCTTCTGGAAAATGTGGTGCCTTGAGCTGAGCTCTCAAATTATTTTTAGGCTTTTAGGGCTGACATGACCTTTCGTACAATAAACCTTGCTGGGTTTTTGTAACTAGGCTAAGGATTAGGAATTGCAGACTAATAATTGGACTCTCTCTTGGTTTAGGTCCTGTTTTTTAAAATTACATACTTGGATTACTGTGCAAAAATGAATGTTATATTATTTTAAAATGCGGACAAAGTGAATGGGTTAATGATGTACCAGGAAGAGTGCAACAGAAGGGTTCTAATAAAGTTAGGAATATTTTTGTAATACTTCAGACAGAATCTGCTTATTTTCCAGTATGCTTAGGTAAACCTGTTGTAAGCAGAAGATTTTCCAAATTAAAGAATATTACAGTGCAGGAAATGTACTAAGTACTGCAAGAATATCAAAGGGACTTTTTTTTAAAGGGGTAATTTGCTTACAACTTTGTTCTTAAGCAGCTGTCTGAAATTTTAATGAATATTAAGAAGTTGTAATGACCTTCTTTAAGCTTTGTATATGACTTAATGAAAGCCTTGCATTAAGCGTAACACGAAGCCTCTATTTAGGGTACAGTTAAAGGCGGTGATTGCTTTGAGCTTAACTAGATGGAGAAAGGTTATATAGGATGTTTTTCCCACAAATAAAAAGATTAAGAATGGAGGATTAGCATGTTGAGACTTTAATTTATAGTGTTTTGGCTATTTTTATATTGCATTATTGAACAAAGGTGTAGATGGTGGTAAAAAAAAACCTTGTTCTGGAAATGGTCTTGGGGCAGCATGCCAGTCACATGTTTGTGACCTTTCATTGTTGGAAAGGTGTTTTCACCAGGGCAGGGGGGTTTGACTGAGAGGAGTCCAGGCTTGCATCCCCATTGCACATGAAATAAAACCTACATGGGCATACAGGCTGTTTGAGTGGTAGCTTCTGTGATGTCAGGAATACAAAAGGGCATGATGTTTGTTACAGGCTCTGGAAGATTTATGCTGTGTCAGTTTTGTAACCTCACAGAAAATGTAGTAAAAGTTGCTGAGTGATGGTGAAATTTCATAGCGGTAGCTCTGTCTGACCTTGTGCAGTGCTTTGCTGAACTTTGCATAATATTTCTTGAGAGAATAAACGAGGCTTCACTTCTATGCTGTGCAGAACAGTAGAGATTTTGACTTGATTGCCTTATGGTGGCCTTATTTTTGAAAGAATTTCCAGGATAAAATACCCAGGATTGCCTTCGTCTACTTAATTTTTTATTAAGCGATAACCATATGTCTTAGTTTCGAGGTATCGCTGAGATTTCCTTTATATTTATCATTGTGATAATTAAATGTGCTCAAAGGTATGTCATGATGCTGACAGTAACAGGTCCAGCCCTATATCTTTCTCTTGAGAGAGGGAGAGACAGGAGTACTTGAATGTCCCTCTTGAAAGGATGCTTCTTTCAGTGTCAGAATGTAGTGCACTGCCTGGAACCTGCCTCTCACGCGTGTGATGCTGTACAACTAACGGACTGTCCTTTTCTCTCTGGTGTCCGCAGATCAGTCTCTTCCAGCCAAGGTGGTGAGAGCTGGGAACCCGAAGCCCAGAAGGGGGGGAAAGGTACAGCCCCGTTTCACCGCCTCTGGGACAGACGCCACACTTACTGGTGTTTGCCCCATTAAGTGTGCACGTTTTCACAGAATTGGTGCTTTTATTGTGGTGTTGCTAAGCTCACACAGTGTTATAGTAGTAGACTAATTATAGCATTGCCTGTCAATACATACTTGCTCTGTAACCTTTATGAGTGTCGCCTTCTGTAAATGGTGGTGTTCTTGAACCCAGGAGTAGAAAACCCCACTGGCTGCACTGTAAAACCACGGGACAGCGTAACAGATTAGTGCGCAGTGCAGATTAGTGCCACAGTAAAAGTTTCCCTTGCAGTTTATGAAACTAAGAGTCCTAAATGTAGACTTGAATAAAGAGTAGTAAAATCGCCACATTTTGCATTTTCCTCCTGGAATGCAAATATTCCATTAATACACCAGGTTGATAAAGGTTTCGATTTGACCTCACTATTGTAGCATTACCTGCTTCAGTTCAAGGGGCAGGGTGATGTAGCTCAAGCCATGACACCTGGGGTTCCCAGTCCCAGTCCTGGGGGACCCCAGAGTCTGCTGGGTTCCATTCCAGCTGAGCTCTGTCTCCAGTCTTAATTGATGCCCTTAACTTTGCTGCTTGAGTGTGCAGGCGTGTGGTTAACTTGGTGCTTTTTCCAGCTGCTTCAGCATAGAGAACCTTAAGCAGCCTCTCCTGAGTTTGCTGACCCTTATTTCTGGTTAAACGGGTATAAATGAAGGATGAACAGACACAGGTGGGAATGACACTCTTATGATACTCCCCACTGAGTGTTGCTGGTACAGGGGCCATCCCAGTTTCAAATCCCATTTGATTTTTTTAAGGGGAAAAAAAAACGATTTAAAATTTGGGCTCCGCAGCCTAGAAAACTGAGCTCGGCGAGCCTGTGATTGCGAACTCAGCTGGAGAGAGAGACTGTGGTCCGGCAGGGCCAGGGCTGGGGTCACGGCAGTGCCTGGACAAACAGGAGGAGCTCCCACAATGCCTTGTGCGCTGGCGATTAACAGCCGACGGTTTGTGCGCAGGTCGGAGACTTCGGCGACGCGAACAACTGGCCCACCCCGGGGGAGATCGCCAACAAGGAAGTGCAGGTAACGTTGCCTGACAGCGGCAGGAGCGCAGACCCACACTCCCGGTGTCCTCTTGCCTGGGTGTGTCATTTTTTACTCCATTTCTCCTATCAGTTTACACACCGGAGTTACGGGTTGGAGACAGGCTGCTCTGAGGTGAATAGTGCTGGTGTGGAAGACATTAAAAAAAAAATGGCAAAACCTCCTTGTTAGGAAGCCAGCTGCTCTCTTATTTGGTGTTATTCGGTCTCTAAAAGCATTAGTGGTGGGAAAAACATTGTCCTGGTTGGAACATCTGCTTGCATGAAGTATTTGAGGATAATAGGTAGAGCACAGCAGTAACGATCGTTATAACGTACAGTATTAGGCCTGTATATTGCAGGAAATGGAAACTGTGTGGTGAGTAAAGTACAGAAGAGGCGCAGAGAGGAGTTCGTGGTGTCTCTCTGTTCCAACACGCAGGCCTTTGCAAACACCCCAAAGTGACGTACCTGCTGTTATTGTGAGTGGAGATGAGAGCTGCCCAGGGTGTCTCAAGCGAGAGAGTGGGGCACAGCACAGTGCGAAAGAACCGGTAAAAGCCATTACTAGTCGTATCGCAGCATGGCACTCTCAAACACAAGATTTAAGATGTGAGGATGGATTGAGAGTACCTGGGCTGTCCTTTTTTAGGAGCCCTTCCGTTTCTTTTGCAAGGTTCTGGAGTGTGAATTAGGTCACGTCAGGGCCAGGAATAACCAGGTCTGCGTCTCTATAGGAGGGATGTCCTTTTAGGGATTCCCACAACACTGCAGGCTGCGGCTCTGCTGCTATTTTAGGTCAGAGCCGCATATTGTGGCTGATGGAGTCTCTCCAGTTTTTTTCCTCCACCTTGTCTCGCATGTGCAGTGGTGACACCAAGAGCCAGCATGGGAATAAAATCATTTTAAAGCAGGCGTTTCATCCCGAATAGAGGACATTAAACATTTTAATTTATCTTCTCATTGGATCTTTAATAACTACTATTATGAACAAAAAAACGTGTTGTTTATCCCTAAGACTTCATTGGTTAACCGCCAAGAGTATCTGCTACAACACTTTCCACTCAGTTTGACCTAATCCCTGGAGATTTATGTACAGAAAGCAGGTACTGCTTCTTACTACCGAGCCAGTAGTTACTTTCTAAAGCTTACAAGATTGGAATTTCAGTTTCAAAACATAAAGTACACACTCGGTAAACATCGGCTCCACATAAAATCGTTGTACACTTGGAAATCCTAACGGGAGCAAGTGATCATCTTGTTGGCCTCCCTTTCAATATGTGGCATGAGGCTTCATCATATACAGTCATGTGAAAAAGAAAGTACACCCTCTTTCAATTCTATGGTTTTATATATCAGGACATAAAAAATCATCTGGTCCTGACCAGGCCCTAAAATTGGGTAAGTCTAACCTCAGGTGACAAACAACACATAACAGGTCCCACTATGTCATTATTTAACAAAATAAGCCAACATGCAGAACATGCATGTGTGAAAAACGAAGTTCACCCCATGATTCAGTAGCTTGTAGAACCACCTTTAGCAGCAATAACTTGAAGTTATCATTTTCTGTATGAGTTTATCGGCCTCCCACATAGTTTTGGAGGAGTTTTGGCCCACTCGTCTTTACGACATTGCTTCAGTTCATTGATGTCTGAGGACATTCATTTATGCACAGCTCTCTTAAGGTCTCGCCACAGCATCTCAATAGGGTTCAGGTCTGGTCTTTGACTTGGCCATTCCTACACCTTGATTCTTTTCTTTTCAGCTTTTCAGTTGTAGATTTGCTGGTGTGCTTGGGATTATTGTCCTGTTGCATGACCCAATTTCGGCCGAGCTGTCGGACAGATTGCCTCATGTTTGTGTCTAGAATACTTCGGTATAAAGAGAAGTTCATGGTCGACTCGGTGGCTGCAAAACAACCCAAATCATCACCCCTCCACCACCGTGCTTGGGGGTTTGTGGTGATACACTGTTTGGTTTTTGCCAAAGATGACGTTGTGCATAATGACCAAACATCTCCACTTTGGTCTCGTCTGTCCAAAGGACAGTGTGTTCCAGAAATCTTGTGGTTTGTTCAGATGCCATTTTGCAAACCTATGCCATGCTGCCATGTTCTTTTTGGAGAGAAGGGGCTTTCTCCTGGCTACCCTTCCATGAAAGCAGTACGTGTTCAGTCTTTTTCTGTTTGTATTGTATTTAACATGTTGAAGCTGTTCAGTAGACCAGAGCAGGAAAGTTCCACTGACCTTCAGAGGTCTGATTAGGTTTTGAAGTCCCTCATGCAAGTTGCAGAGCTTGGACCGCTCACCTTTGTCCGCACAGCTCCCGTTTCGGGGTTTCTGGGCTCGGAGGCAGGGGCCTGTCCCACTCTCTCGTGTTGGTGAGGGTGCGGCCCGGTTGCCGGTTCGCCTTAACTCTCTTCCTCTGGAAATTCCCAGGTGCCGAAGAAAGCCATGACCAAGAAGGAATCAAAGGAGAAACGGGACAACGAGGAGAGCAAGGAAAACCAGAAGGCGAAATCCGACGACTCGGGAGAAGAGAAGAACGGAGATGAGGATCTGCAGAAAAACGGTCAGAAGAAAAAAGGTGAGTGAGCTACTCCGCCGCTGAGCTGGATGAAAGTACACATTTACCTCACGTGAACCAGCCCAGCCCAGCCTTGCTTCGTGTGAATTCATGCGTATCGGTGGAGAGTCACTTTATCAAGTCACAGTCGAATCTCATAACAGCTTTTTGAACTGGCTGGAGAGTCCTGTGCTGTGACAAATCTGCCTTTGAGTTTGGACAGGTGGTTAAGAAAGCGTTCGTAACTGGCGTCATCTGCTGTGCTCAGTAGACCTATTTCCTGCTGCTGTCCACTGGGCTGCTTCTGCTCTGATTTATGAAAATTGAGTCTTCTGAAAGTTTGGTAGCCGGCACTTTTTTTTTAAGTGGTGCCTTTCTATCAAGTATTTTGAAGGAACTTTTTTGTAAATCATGTTGAGGGTTAATTGAGAGGTGATGTAGAGACTAAGTAGCAGTTACTCTGGCCTTGTCCTTTGAAATTTGCTTGCTTGAAATCCGAGTGTCTCAAGTACCTCTGTAGCAAAAAAAATAGTACTTAGGTGCTCTCAGAAATTTGCATGCCGCAGTAGTGCTGTTGGGGAGATATACAGTGAAAGTAACTGTTGCCTGTAAGCAAGATAAAAGGCGTTAGATTCCTTTTTTTTGTCTCGCTATAATTTAAAGATGAAAGCAGCTACAGTCCAGATGATCCGGTCCTATGTGTCCCTGGGTCATCTCAAACTTCATTACGGGAAGGTGGGGGGTCCAAATCGTGCTCCGAGGCCCCATGTTGTGTTGTCTCTGCAGGAACCAAGCAGCGGTGGGTTCCTCTTCAGATAGAAGTGAAGTCCGAGGGGCCCAGGGAGCGTTCTGCTTCGAGGAACAACAGCCGGCAGAACGAGCCCAGCCGCCTCCCGTCCAGCCGGAGTGACCTCAGAGGTGAGCTGCACTGGCTGTAGGGGCTGTTCTGAGTTCAAACCTCGAGGAGACCTTCAAGGCACAGGGTCGTGCACGTCCATAAAGGGTGGAGAGTCTGAGAGCTTTGTGTGGTACTGCTCTCCAGCCGTTCTCGCCAGGAAAAGCTGCAGGTTTGACAGCGCGGTCTTCTCCTTGGTAATGGTTCAACAGATGGAAATTATTTTTCACGGCGCGCGCGTCTGTGTGTTTGTGTTGGACTGGCGTCCTGCCCAGGGTGTACCCCGCCTTGCGCCCGGTGCTTGCTGGGCTGGGCTCCCCTCGGTGCTGTCCTGGATGAAGGGGTTCGAAAAGGGGTGGGTGGCTACTCTGCAGGGCAGCGTGGGTGTCCTCTTGAACCGCAGCGCTGCGGTTGAGGGTGCCTTGAAAAGCTGGCTCCCCGGGGTGACGTTGAGTGTTGGTAAGATCCCCGCTTCTCCCGGCAGACTGGCACAGCACGAAGCACGAGCGAGAGTGGCGGGACGACCACGACGAGGTGTCCAGCGTGAAGAGCGAGGGCGCGCCCTTCCGTGGAGGGTTCAGAGGTCGCGGCCGTGGCCGAGGAAGAGGCCGGGGTCGTGGGCGGGGCGGCGGCCGAGGTACTTGTTCCAGTCCTGGAGTTTCCTAAAAGATGCCGTCATCTCGGCCTGGGAGTCAAGTTATGGCACTGGCTGCTCCTCCTGTCCCGTTCGGATGTGTGCGCGGCTCGGTTCCTGACACCGCCGCTCCAGCCTCCTCGTGAGAGTCCGGTCACAGCTAGGACCCGGAAGGAGGTTGATTGCTGTTGACGTGGCTTTTGCCCATCCATTTGTGCAACAGCGCACCCTCGTCATTCAGGGGAAACAGCAGCATTAAGGAGCAGCTTAAGTATCATGAAACTGTGCTCTTAATGCACAGCAATATTTGGAGCCTTGTAGGATCAGTTCCTAAGGATCTGAGCCTTTTTGCATGTACGTTCTTTACAGTTCATTGTTCTTTTTTCATTGCAAAAGCGCTTTCCTGCTGTAGTGGTCCACTAGTTGCACAGCAGTGATTATTAGAATGAATGTTCTCCATCGTCATGGGTGACAGCAGCTTGTGGAGGGTCTCGTGTAACTGTAAAACCTGATTCCTCTGCATGCGCACTCTCCTTCAGCCCCTGTTCTGGGTGACTGGTAGATCTGGCTAGTGTGAATCCCTTCACCCTTTTTTTCCCCTGTGCTCCTGTTCTTTGCAAAAAAAAATTCAGATCCGTGGGAAGTGGTCGATAATGAGATGTTTCTGCTTGCAGGTCATTTTGATTACCAGTATGGCTACAAAAACTATGAAGGGAAGGAAGGGCTCTACGGACCGAAGTACAACAGCACTGTGACCTATTACTACGACAACATCAGCAGCACGGAGATCTACACTGTGGACCAGGAGCTGCTGAAGGACTACATCAAGCGACAGATGTATGTTGACAGACTGAAAACCAGTTATAAAGGGTGTCTGTTTTAGATAGAAGCCCACACAGAAGCTGGGTTCCGGTTCGTAGTGGACTTTTCTTAACTCGGAAGTGCATCATGGTCACACAGATACCTGTGGAGTCGCCATATTGCCGTGTCTACAAATAAAACGGTGGCAGCGATCACCGGGACTCTCGTGCAGTGCTACGCGCTGCAGGGCTCTGGGTTCCATTCCTGCCCTGCAGTGCTGTCTGCGTGCTGTTTGAATGTTCTCCCCGTGTTTGCGTCGGTCTCCTCCAGGCACTCCAGTGTCCTCCCACAGTCCAGAAAACGTTGGGAGCTTAATGGGTGTTCCTGGAAGCGGGCTGTGTGTCCGAGTGTTGGTGGATGCGGTGGGTGTAACTGTTGCTCTGTCCCTCCCCCCCAGCGAATACTACTTCAGCGTTGACAACCTGGAGAGGGACTTCTTCCTGCGCAGGAAGATGGATCAGGAGGGCTTCCTGCCCATCCAGCTGATCGCGAGCTTCCGCCGTGTCCAGGCCTTGACGACGGACATCGGCCTCATTGTGGAGGTCAGCGATCAGCGAGGCTGCAGACGGGGGGGGGTCTCCCCTCGCATCCTCACACCCTCGCCGACGTAGCGGAGTGGCCACTCGAGCAGTAGATGCAGTTATTCTCCATGTGTATATTTACACACGTTCCCGTGTTTCGGATTTGTAGAGGGCTGCACGTATCCGAGTATAAAGTTCTCCTGCATGTGCGACTGCTGTGAAGATGATTTTCACGTCTAGCGAACTCTGCTTTCCTCCCTCAGGCTTTGAAAGACAGCAAAGAGGTGGAGATCGTGGACCTGAAGATCCGGCGCAGAGAGCAGCCGGAGAAGTGGCCGCTGCCTGGTTTCTGTGCCCCGGACTACAGCCAGACAGACTTCTCCCAGCTCATTAACTGCCCCGAGTTCGTGCCGAGGCAGGCCTGTGAGAAACAGACAGGTGAGCTCCTCGTACTGGACACCGCGTGCCTGTCGCTCCCAGCCAGCGGCCCTGAGGCTGGCGATAAACATTCCAGCCTTGAACCTTATTAAATGTTTATTAAGTGTTTGTTGCCTCGTGCTGGTAATGAAATATGACCTCTGATGGCGAGGAAACTCTTTCGTTGGCAGGAAATCTAGATCATATTGCTTTGTGCTTAAATAAGATAAGTCCAATCAGTTTTTAAAAAAGACTCTTAGGTTTCACCCTTTAATATTAGTCACTTCACCTCTGCAGAAGTAACTAGAACATTTGTTGTTGAAAAGGGTTAGGATAAGTGTTTAAGAATGAATATTAGCGATTACCCACTAAACACCCAGCTATCGTTTTGCCGGAAGTTTTAATTTATGAATTGTTAAAGTTTTTCATAAGTCTTAATATGTGTTTTATCTAGAACTTTATATTTTCATTCTCCAGTAGCTATTCAGAATAGGATATACTGTCCTACCTGTCTGCCTCACCTATGAATGCCAGTATAACTCCATATGGAGGCTTCTTAACGAGTGGTGGGTTGGTAATGGCACTCTTGCTCATGGGAATGCTGTCTGATTGGCAGAGTCTGCTCCAGGGTCTCCGAGAGCGTCCACCCCGGTGCAGTGCAAAAGCGAGGACGTGAGCAACCTCAAGACGATGCCCAAGGGGCTGTCGGCCAGCCTGCCGGACCTCGACTCGGAAGCCTGGATCGAAGTGAAGAAGAGGCCGAGAGCGTCGCCGGCACGACCGAAGGTGACAGCCTCCTTCAGGCTCGGTGCTCCCGGCAGGCCCTAGCGCGGGAAAGACTGGCGGTTTTTCTTGATGCCCGGTTCCGTTCTACCGCAGGGGCCGTTTTATCATCCCTTCTTGGAAAGAAATGCCTGTCTTCCTCTTGTCCGCCGGAGTCTTGTGACAGGCCCTCTGTAATGAAGTTAGCCATTGCAGAGTTAAGATGGCATAAAAAGTGACATTCTGAACACTTTTGTCATTCTCCTTCTGTCATTGTTTGTGGTTGATGGAGCATATTCAGGTCTTAAACATGAATGATACATCTTTGGGAAAGGGATACGGGTTTGTAGTTACATGATACAGCTGTTGGTGAGATACCCATGTGCTTTCAGACATGTGCCTGTGGGGCAGTTTCAGCTGTGTCCTTGCCCATTGCTGTGGTGTTAAATACTGGCGTTATTGCTCCGGGTGTGCTGGGAACAGGCTGTTTTCCCAGGAGCTCTGCTCCACTGACTCGTGGCGTCTGTTCCAGAAAGCGGAGGAGTCCAGGTCTCCGGTGCAGCAGGGCCGCGAGGAGCCGGACGAGCCGGAGGAGCTGGACTTCATGTTCGACGAGGAGATGGAGCAGATCGACGGGCGCCGGAACACCTTCACCGACTGGTCCGACGAGGACTCGGACGGCGAGATCGACGACCACGACGTCAACAAGATCCTCATCGTCACGCAGACGCCCCCCTACCTCCGCAAGCACCCCGGGGGTGACCGCACGGGCAACCACACCTCTCGCGCCAAGCTCACCTCCGAGCTGGTCAAAGTCATCAACGACGGCCTCTACTACTACGAGCAGGACCTGTGGGAGGACACCCACGAGCCCGAGTACGCCACCATCAAGGTGAGCCGCCCAGCGCGACCGCAGTCGCTGTTCACCCATGTCACTGGACCGCTCCCGTCTAGAGCTGCGCTGTCTGTTAATCGCATGGGTAGACTGTTTCAGCTTATTTTTTATGCATTATTGCATTCCTACAGCAAAGTATCATGGGTACAAGGCCACTACAACACTAGAGGGCCACGGTACAGCTAAGGATCGTGGGTACAAGGCCAGTAGAACACTAGAAGGCCACTGTACAGCAGAGGATCTTGGGTACAAGGCCAGTGTACAGCAGAGGATCTTGGGTACAAGGCCACTGGAACACTAGAGAGCTGTCGTACAGCAAAGGAACATGGGTTGAAGGTGACACGTTCTATTATGAGGTCAAAATTCATTAAAGGATTACAGATATGAGAAATCAAGTGTTTTTGTAAATGTTCTAATAATGGCTGATCATTTATTGGTTAATATGCCAAAAGACCTGTTCATAAGCTCAGCAAATATTGATGAGATTAACGGGTTTTACTTCACACTCTATGATGTGGACAGTTTGAATGGCATTGACATGGTTTAAGTAAAACTGCTGGAATTACCAAGTTTTTGTTCTCAAAGTTTCCAGCCTCGTGGCTGGGTTTGTTTAAGGCTAGTTGAAATCTGTGCTCGTAATGTACGCCAGGTTGTTTCTGGATGAGCCAGGACGTTTGAATGGTCTTCAGCAGGAGTTTTTCCAGTGCTCCCATTGTGAGCTGGGTCCTTTGTACCTCTCACTCACGTGCTGTGTCCAGTGACGTCTGCACTGTTTATAAACAGTCTGCGGGGCTCCGGCCTGCTTTTTTACCGCCAGGTCTGGGGAGGAGAAATGGCTCTTCCTGGAGCAGAGAGCATGTTTTTCACCAACACTGACAATGTGAGCTACTTCTGAGTTATACAGATTCTGAACTCTGAACAAGGGGGGCTGCTTTGCTCTAAAAGATATGAAATGTCAGGTTGTTGGTTTGGAAATTTTAAAATAGAAGTGAAATGTATCCTACCGTTCTGTTCTCCTGCACAGTTGGTATAGCCTGGGCACGTCAGCTTGGCATGTTTAAGTTCCAGATTCTTCATGGTAATTTTTAATATTTAGATACATCACGATGGGTGAAACAGTTGAGACTTTCTGTACACAGATCAAAATCGGTGCTGGCTCTCGATTCTTAAAAAAAAGTGTAAAATGCAAGGTGCAGACAGTGCATCAAGACAATATACAAACAAACCGCAGACAATTTACAAGTAAACTGTTGGAATGTAAACAATGCAGACATGTAAGCAATGACAGATGTGCAATAAATACAATTATAATGAGATGGTGTAAGTTATGGTCCTCTTGTGTCACTGCCATTGCAGCAAGAAGTCGAGAACTTCAAGAAGGTTCACCTCATCAGCAGGGAGCAGTTTGACAACCTGACCCCTGAGCCCCCTGTGGACCCCAACCAGGAGGTGCCTCCGGGGCCCCCCCCACCGCAGCAGAGTGAGTGTGCAGCCGCCGGCCCGCGTCACGGGCGCCCCACAGCGGGATGGCCGGCCGCTCCCTCACACCCTCCCCTCCCGTTTCAGTCCCCACAGACGCGCTGGCGAACAAGCTCTTCGGCGCCCCGGAGCCCTCTGCCATCGCCCGCTCTCTGCCGACGACGGTGCCCGACTCGCCCAATTACCGCAACGCCCGGACGCCGCGCACGCCCCGCACGCCGCGCCTGAAGGACCCCACGCAGACGCCGCGCTTCTACCCGGTGGTGAAGGAGGGCCGGCCCGTGGACGCCAAGGTGAGCGAGGGTTCGGGGAACTCGGAGGCGCCGGTTAACGGCGTAGCTCAACGCTTCTTTTCCGCCGCTTGTTTTACCTCGCGAGACCGTGAAGTAAAATGGTGGGCGGTCGCTATGAGTGCGCGGTAGATGTCTGCAGCGGTGGTCTGCTAGCACACCCGAGCGCAGGCCCGCTGTGTGGGAAGCATCCTGCTTTAAGATCTAAAAGCACGGCGCCGGTCGGAGTGAAGAGAGGTCCGTGTCCGCCCTGCACCTCGGCCCAAATGCGTCTACAAAGCCGTGTCTGTTTGCGCTGCCTGTAACGCGAGCCGGTCTTGACCCGCAGACCCCCCGCAAGAGGAAGACCCGGCACAGCTCCAACCCGCCGATGGAGTGCCACGTGGGCTGGGTGATGGACTCCAGGGAGCACCGGCCGCGCACGGCCTCCGTCAGGTAGGGGGCGCTGCCAGTCCGCCTGCCCACGAGCCCTTGCAGAGGAGCGCGATGGCGGGGCACCAGGAAGTGGGTTGTGTGTCAGCTCTTCGTATTCGGAGCTGTTGTGAGTTGTGACGCCCCTCTCGTTGATGTGGGCAATGAGACACCTGCGCTGTGGCCGGTGGTGCCTTATAGAGTAGAAGCTGTTCTTACTGCAGTGCCTCTCGTGGTCCAGGGGCAGCATGCTGGCCAGGTTTTCAGCTCTGCTCCAGGTCCCTGAGAAGAGGCCGGGTGCCGGGGGAGATCTGTCTGTAGGGGTGATAAAACACAGACCGTTCCCGCGGGTTTCGTCTCGTTGAGGTTTTGTTTTCCTCCCCAGCTCGAACGCTAGTCCTTCCGAAGGCACGCCTGCCCTGGGAAACTATGGCTGCACCCCACAGTCTCTCCCCAAATTTCAGCACCCGTCGCACGAGCTGCTGAAGGAGAACGGCTTCACGCAACACGTCTACCACAAGTACCGCAGGCGCTGTCTCAACGGTAGGCAAGAACCAGGGGCTTTTTCTTAAGATGGCTACAGAATTGCTTCTTCTTCTTGTGTCTTTTGGTCTGGGTTTCACTGTTCGCTTTGAAGAAATCCGCTGACTTTGTTAGTTCCTCATAGGATCCTGAATCAGGTCAGGTCATAATGTCTTTTCAAAAATAACAAGGTTCAGTTCCTTCAGCCTGTCAGTGTGGGACACTCCCTCTAGACTGAAGAGACTCAGTTCCTTCAGCCTGTCAGTGTGGGACACTCCCTCTAGACTGAAGAGACTCAGTTCCTTCAGCCTGTCAGTGTGGGACACTCCCTCTAGACTGAAGAGACTCAGTTCCTTCAGCCTGTCAGTGTGGGACTGGCTTAACCCAGTGCTGACTGCAGCCTCTTTGAGATGCGGTGGGATGCAGGTGGTGGGGTGACAGAGGCCCAGGTGCGTCCGTGATGCAGCCTTGGGCTTCTCCTCTGGGCTGCGCTGGCAACAGTCTATCTAGAAGGATGCGATTGACCGTTGGATAATCATCACCTTGACGTGCAGCCGAAAGCTTTCTGTCCCCTCCCGTCGACGTCCGCGAGACCCAAGTGCCGTTTTTCGTCTCTCCGCAGAGCGGAAGAGGTTGGGCATCGGCCAGTCGCAGGAGATGAACACGCTGTTCCGCTTCTGGTCCTTCTTCCTGCGGGATCACTTCAACCGGAAGATGTACGAGGAGTTCCGGCAGCTCGCCGTGGAGGACGGGAGAGAAGGATATCGGTAAACTGAGCTGTGTTCCCTCTATTCCCGGGCTATCGGTCCACAGCCCACAGCCCCCAGTGACCATGAATGAGCGGTTTGATAATAAATGGCACTGAGATTACAGAGGTATTAATGTGCTCTGAATTATTAATGCGTGAAAAAAGAAATGGATACGTCACTGCTGTTGAACTCAATCAGCAGTTGTACATTGGCAGGCTGCTGCAGAGAACGGAGGCGGTGCAGTTCATGTAAGTGTCATGGTTTAAGACACTGCTGTTCAGTGTTTTTGCTCTTGTGATACTGTTGTAACTAGTGTGCCTGTGCTCCTTGTTTTCTAGGTATGGTCTGGAGTGCCTTTTCAGGTATTACAGCTATGGGTTAGAGAGGAAGTTCAGGCTGGACATATTCAAAGACTTCCAGGAGGAAACCGTGAAGGATTACGAAGCCGGTAAGACTTCAGTATTTATGGTTTTTATTTTGCGTCTTAATATCTATTTGACTGGTTGCATTGTGATTCTCTGCAGCCTAAATGTTGAAACTGTTCAGGGTTGTGTGTATGTGCACATTTTCATCCCTGCTTATTAATTACACGATGGCGAGTGTGGTGTAGAAAGGGTTGTCCTGCCACTCAGCTTGCTTGGTTATTTGGGATGAGAGACCCGTAAGTAGCCATCGGGCTGGACGAATCTTCTTTCCTCATTTAGTGATTTTGTGAAGGTGAATGAGAGAGCGTGACACTGGGTTGAGATCTGTTAAGAGAACAGCCTTGTTTTTGTGTCGATGGCGCTTATGGTCAGAGGCCGGGTCTAATGCCAGCTTTGGGGGTCTTGTCTGTTGTCACTACACTGCACCTGGGCAGCGACACCGGAGCCCGTTTCTCAGCTCTGGCCTGCGCGGCACAGTTGTGTGCTAGCCACCCACGCGTTTCAAAGCGCTGGGAAATCTAACGCCATCTTTGCTGTACGTTTCACAGGGCAGCTGTATGGACTTGAGAAGTTTTGGGCTTTTCTGAAATACTCAAAAGCAAAGAACTTGGACATTAACCAGAAACTACAGGAATATTTAAGCAAATTTAAACGTCTTGAGGATTTCAGAGTGGATGTAAGTATTGAATGCTAAGCTATATTATAATGTTGTTCTCTCATGTCATGTTAAGATTGCATATCTTTTCGCAAAATTATTTCGGTTATGAAACAGTTCCAGTTTTTGAAAGTAATTCATGATTAGTTTCAGTTTTGCACATCCTATTCATACTCTTAAAGCACTGAAAACTTCAGTAGGAATTGTACAGTTAGTTGCAAATCGCCCTAAAGGCTCCTGCTGTTAATAAATTGCCTTTCTGTAATCCCTTGCACTGCAGATAGTGAAATGAAGATGGAACTTAAGCTGGTACCAAGTCCAGCAAGTCCAAGTCCAAAGTGAAACTCGGCTGAATCGTTGCCAGCAGTAGCAAGCTGCTGGTTCCAATGCTTATTTCTCCTTAAATCAGCTTTCTTTTCCGATTTCTTGCAGTGTTTTCATATTGTTGCACAACTTGGTCATTGTATTGTGGAAAAGGACAGTAATAATTTAAACCCTTTACCAACAAAAAATGCCCTTGCCAACTGTAACTGTACAGATTCCAGCAGCTTGCAGAAACAAAGAGAAGGATGTTTGATCTAATGTCCTAAATTAATCTGTCCCAGTACGACGGGGATATATACTGTGCATGCACCGCCACCTTCTTCAGAAATGTGTGCTGTTAAGTATAATCAAAGATTTTAGAAACTTAACTTTTTTTGTTTACTAATTATGTAGTGAGCTATTAATATTTACAAACTTAAGATGCTAAGGATTAAAGGTAGTTCAGTCTCGTCCTTTTTGCCATTTCTACCAAACTCAATACTTGACTCCAAGATGAGATTTAGCTTTAACCAGTCTCTTTATTTAAAATAAACTCTTGAGAAGTTCTCGTGGATAACTGCAGATCATAACCCCAGATTTAAATAACATTTAATAGGTTGATGACGTGCTGGTCATTTTTTAGGATGTCATACAGCTCATCAGTTATTTTTCAGACGGAGCGCGTGCTGTTCTCTGCTTGAACACGGCCTCGTGCTCGGCGGCAGGGGCTGGCCTACAGGGCTGTGGATGTCTCCTGCGTGTTGTGGGCGGGGGGGGGG